TACAATGAATTATAATTATGTAATCAGATTTATTTTAATTTAGATTTTAATCAATTTCTTGAATTTCATTTGATTATGAGATTTTAGTTTGATTAAATAGAAAATAATCAGTTATACTTGATGATAATCCAAAATCAAATTATATTTGATTAGAATTTTAACCAATTTTTTGATTTTTAACTGATTATAAGATTTTCATCCGGTTTATTGCAAGGTAATCAATTATAATCGATTGGCAATCACGAAACTAGATTAGATTTGATTGAAATTGCAATCGATTGAGTTGATTATAATCAATTTTATGAATTTCATCGAATTTAGTGCCAAAAAATCGACTAAAATCAGCGAAAAATGATTTTTTTCTAATCGATTATGAAAAATAATCAATTATAATCGGATTCTTCTGAAAAAAGGGACTTTTTCTAGAAATAATCTGATTATGTTGCTCATAATCCGAAATAATCATGATTTTTTGACCGAAATTTTTCACTGGGTTATTATCATCATTATGATAATATATTAAATGTAAATATGTTTTGTTAGCAAATATTGTTGTATATCCATATTGTGCATCATGATATTGACTCCATTCTTGAGTAGAATAAGGAAGAATAGTTAAATCTTGACCAGCCATACCAATCAAAACATTTGTAATTCCATCTTGAACACATTTTCCTTGATACATTGGACAAGATCGTTCATAAGCGTGAAGATGCGCAAATAGATTGACATCAACATGATATTTATAAAATAATGGTTCTAAATGTAATTGAAGCATGTCTCCAATTTTAAGATCAGGATAATTTAATTGTGATGTATACATTGGTCGATGTGAACCAATAATAATCCATGGAGTGAGAGAACGATTTACTGATTGAAGATCATGCTCAATCCAATTATATTGAACTGATGACTGTTGAAAATCATGTTCAGTTGAGTAATAAAGAATATGTAGTGGACCAACATTAAAACTGTACCAAAAAAGACCATTACCATTAGATGGAGAATGAAAACGATGAACCATCGGAACAGCACATTCACCACCAGAATCTTGACCATAATTACCCCTCAAAAATAATTTCTTTCTATATTTTCCTATACAAAGAAAAACTATATATATTTACCATGTTGGATGAAATCCACCAGGACCTGGTGCACCACTTGGATCATGCTCTCCTCCAGTAACATGATCATATTCATCATTACCGATACCAACCATATAAGGTATACGAGCTGCTATGGGTTGAATTTGTGTCATAAAGGCATCCCAAAGAGCTCCAATACCTCGAGCATAACTAATATCACCAATATGTAATAAACATGTGATATTAGCAGATTGCACAAGGGTTTTTACATGATCAATTGTTAATTTTGCACCTGGTTCAACTGGTGATAAACCCATATCACCATAAGCAATTAAATAAACTTCTTCATTGCTATTTGCAGGACGATTTGTAAATGAATAAATTGATGACCATCCATGTTCATCTGTTCCAACACGATAATAATATGTTGTTAATGGACGAAGATCTTGAAGTAATATTGTATGCATATATCCTGGATCAATAAAATTTTGTGGACCACTTATATTTGCTCGTTCTTCACACATATCAGATGCTTTATAAGTTATTGTACTACCATTTTTATAAAAATTAAGTAATGATGGATGAAATCCATATTGACATTGTGGAATATATTCAGATGAATTCGTTAAATATGAAATAAACATTTCATCAATTCGATCACCATATGCCAAATGAATATGTGTTGGTTCATTGATATTCAATGGTTGAATAACAACTGATTTACCAATAAATGAATAATTACCTGAACAATTATGATCACGAGAATAATAACGAAATTCTAATGAACGACGAAGATTAATCATTTGCCATGAAATAAGATTTTCTTGATTTCTAATAAATTCGTAATCAAAATAATCACACGCTAAATTAATTAATATGTACATAGTTTTATTTCGAATAATTTATATTTATTTTTACCTTTGTTAAAAGGAATTTCGCTAAAATAAATACCAATAAAATCATCAATACAAGGAGTGAATGTTGATATCCAAGTGACATTAATTTGTTCAAGACTTGAATAAACTGTTGCTGTTACATTTAAAGTAATCTCATCTGTGATGATTGAAAGTTCACCTATAGATCGATTGCATGTATATGGACTTGGTGCATCATTTGCTAGATGACGTTTACCAAAAGGACCATTGTTATTTACATGTTGATCGGATAGGATGAAATGTAAAGAAAACGAAACGAAGAAAAAAAACACAAAAAGATACTGCATATGAAGAAATAAACTTATCATATAAACGATGTATTCTGGTGTCGTTTTATATTTTGATAATATGAAAAAGATACTGATAGTTTTATCTTTGCAGAGCACACAAGCAATAATAACAAATATTTATTACATAGAGATTTTTTTTTGATATTTTATGAACTATTATCAACGGCTTAAAATAATGTTTTCTAAATTTTTAAATTAATTAATTAATTTAATCATTTATATCTTTTTTGTTTTTCATTCATGAATTATTGGTAATATATCTTACATTCAATTATCTCGCCAATGAATGCATATGTTAAAATAATTTCTTACTTATCCTCATATCCTTGTTATTTGTGAGAAGTGAGATGTTTTATAAGATGATTTTTTGATAATATTTCTCAAATATACTTATGAATGCTCGAAAATTATATTGAGCGAACTTTATAGTAGTTCAACAAAGTACAATAAAGATATGATTTCAGTTGGTGTTGAACAAGATGAGAATACAAAATCTAAAGTAATAAGACCTTCGGTTGTTCCAAGTTTTTATCAACATTCGTTTAAGTGTGTATATGCATACACTCGTTCATATGACATGCTTGATTAGATGCGTTTTTTCTTTATTTGAAAATCCATCTCATGCATATGCAGAAGAAAAAAACTTAAGCAGTATTGATTTTACTGTTGATCCATGGAACATAATAACTAACACGAGCATAGACACCAGGATATCCATCACGAGCACATTCATGACCATAACTAACAACACCGTTCAAGAACCTAAAACGAAGAAGAAGATGTACACATTTAAGAAACTGAGGACAACGAAAGAAAGAGATGCCTTACCACTGTCCGTTTGATTCGTACATCAATGGACCACCTGAATCACCTTGACATGTATCACGACCTCCACCGTAGGCACCAGCACACATTTGTTTATTATTATTATATGTACCATAGATTTGTCCACAACGATTTGGCATTGTATGTAATGCTGTTTGTTTCAAAACTGGACTTGTTTCACCTTGAAATGATGTTGTACCCCAACCAGCTAAAAAAAATTGAAATCAATTCTCAATTTCTTTGTAAACAATAGTTTCTTACAAGTCCAAACTGTTTCATTAGCATTGTTTGCTTCAGCACCTGGTAAACAGATAACATTGATTTTATCTGAAATTGTCACTGGTTTTGAAAGACGAATAATAGCAATATCATTTTCCTGTGTGTTTGTATTATATTGTTCATGCATAAAAATTCGTTCTGCAATAATTTGTTGTTCTTCATAAACAGGTTGATCGATATCATGTAGACCAACCAAGACTTCATAGTTTTGTGCAACAATTGGTATTTTAAGACAATGAGCAGCTGTTAGAACATGTCTTGTATCAATAAGACTTCCACCACAGAGACCATTACCAGCATGTATACGAACTTGCCATGGCTAGAAACGAAACAGATAGAGTGAGTACGTATGTAATGAGTACTAAATTCTATGTTTGTATCTTACCCATGAGTTTGGATGTGCTTGTACACCTCCGACAATACGTTGTGCGCTTGATGGTTGATATTTTTGTTTACCACATTCACGAGGAAAGACAGACGATGATGTAGATGTAGCTACTGCTTGACAACAGAAACGAAGGTTCATACCACTTAGTTCATGTCCGATTTGTGTGGCACATTCTTGATGCGGCATGTATGAAAGTGATAGTTGGCCACTAGTTAGCGCTATCCATTGCGAACACAATTTTCCATTGTCACGAACATTCAATTGATATTGACCGAAAGCACTTGTAGCAAGAACAACGAGAAGTGCTGTGACTAATAACATCGTCAAGTTCTATTATTTTTATGTATATTCTTATACAATAATTGTAAAAATTCGACCTACGTATATAAGCTATTTGTAGTAGGCCTATCACGAGATTCTTCAAGAAAAATAACCTTGAAAATATTCAATTACATTCTATGCGATGGCAATAATTGTTGTTATTGTGTTTTTTTTCATTTTTCTAATCCATCTATTTTCTGCATGTGATATTCTATTTGAAAAATAATTTAATTTCATAAAAGTATTATGAAGAGGCGCGAGTCACAGCTTATAGCATTTAAATTTTCAAATCGAACTGAAAGCTTCTTTTTCATCAAATGAATGTGTATTGACTGAGAGAGAAAAAATAATTTTCTTATTCTCTTACTCTTACAGGTTTATACAAGGATTAACTATACACCACTCATATCTATGCCGTTCTTTCGATGAATGTAACATCCGTGTACTTACAACAAAACTATATTACCGAGTTTTCACCTAAGATTTTGTTCATATCGACCTCCCAAATTTGTAAAATAAAAAATAAAAATACTAAAATCAATTCCATGGGTTACAATATATATAGAGAAAGATATGTTACAATATACAATACTCATCAAATTAAATTTATATCATTCATCACGCGAGGTTATTTCATGAAGAAAAATGTTCGCTTCTATATATGACTTGATTTCGTAGACACTGATAAACTGCTACATAACTTCTAGATACCTTCCAAGATTCTTCTCAATTCAGATTAACTATCTACTATATATTTAGAAAAGTATAAATAAATGAATGATAATCATTTACAAAACAACTCTTTGATTTTAGTGTCATTCATAATAACATAAATTATAATCTCGTTATTTGATTGACTTTAAATGTTATACGAAGTAATTATGTTTTGTATGATTATATGACTTTAGTCAATCTCTCAATATTCTTGTTTATATATAATGTAATCAAACGCAAACCATGTGGGTCGCGCTTGTTTTATATACATAGGTAATGTTTACATTGATATAGCATTTTTCGTCTTCTTTTCTTCGTTCCTCGCACATAAATTTTGAAGTATAAACATTAATCGCACATATAATTCAAGGTAAATTTTTTATAGTAAGTATTTAAATATAAGATTTTCTATATAATAATTGTATTTTTTAATGAAAGTCTCTCAACCATATCGTTATATGTATATGTTCTTTTTCATTATTATCTAAGTCTTAAAATCGTTTTAGTCCAGGATACTTTCAAAGAATCTGTCGGAGACTATAACTATCTATTAAATAAAAACCATTCATGTATTGTTTTGTAAAGCATAGTGCACATTGATTGATATGTAAAATATTATATTTTTTGTCAAAACAAGACTAATTAACAATCTATGTATTGGTTAATGGTCCATATAGTATTTGCAATTTATCTTTCTGAATACCAACAAAGTATTTTCTTTTGTTGTACCTGTATTTTTATTTATTGATAAAAAAAATGATGGCCGTACTTGTGAAAGTAAGTGTGTAAACAACAGATATGATGCATCTTTTTTTTTATAAGATTTCTAGTTTAAATTCTGTTCTAACTCATTATTTTTTTATTCTAGTTTTATAGATTAACAAGTATATTAAAGACAAAGACAAAAGAAATGTTAAGATATTTGAAGATACGAAGTCCCTGTATTATTGGATTAATACTTGCTAGTTTATTTATTGTCTGTCTTCTTCATCATAATTTAACCACTGAATTATCTGTTAGAAATTCTGTTGCAATTATACCAAATAAATCGTTAGAATCGACATCATTATTATCATCACCGAGAGAATTACTTTTATTATATGAACAAGAATATTCTCGTGTAGAATCAACTTCATTTCGTCCAACATTTCATAATCATCATTTAACATTAAAATTAAATTTAACAGCAATAGCAATAGAATATTTCGATTATTTTAAAAATTCTTCAACAAAAACAACTTCAGCTCTTAAAATAACTTGTTTACAAAGTTCGAAAAATAGAAATAATTTTCGTTCGATTTGCGATATTTTTTTGACTTTTCAAATCAAAATATTAAATTCACAAAAAGTACAATTAACTTTATTATCAAAAAATACAAGTTGTTCCGTATTATTAACAAATATATCTGATTTAATTCTTATCAATGTTCATCAAACGTTTTCAATCGATGACATATTTCGTTTTACTCATCAATGGACTAATACTAATAACAAAACAGAACTATTTTGGCGTTCATGGCCTCCGACAACAACAACATGTTTAAAATCACTTCCATGTTCTCTCACTAATATTTTAACACATTCCACATCAAAAGAATTATTTCTTACAGAACAAAACGCTGTTTCGTATTGGCTTGACTTACAATATCAAGTCTTTATCAATCAAAGATTATCAAATGAAAGAAAGAAATCTGTAAATAATAGAAATTTCGTTCCATATGAAATCGCGAAAAATCCTCGTGTATGTTCAAGTGAATTTCAAAATTGGATTTTAGACTATCAAAAATGGCATGAAAATATAATGTTGAATATAAATAATGGTTCAATGACATTTGAAGAACAACGTAATCGTATAATTGAACTTGACGTTCGGTTTTTAATCTATGAAAAACATACCTCAGGTCTTTCTGATCGAATAATTCATTTGATTTCAACATATTTAGTCGCATTATTAACAAAAAGATTATTTATATTCGATAAAAATTGGCCTGAATTTACTGAAATAATGCAATCGAGTTTAAATTATGATCAACAATTAATCATACCATGGATTGAACAACTTGATTTACTTAATAAAAATTTAACTCAAAATGATCGAAAATATTTAACATCGAAGACTGAATGGTTTTCTTCGAATCGGTTGCTTAAAGATTATGATTATGATAAACTATTTCCTGAACGTATTCTAACATTTAAAGGACATACAGGTGGTGTTATACAAACTATTCATTCAAATTCAAGTATTTATAGAAAATTTTTAACTATCGATCTTCAAATGAATACAAATAATATATTTGGATGTCTTTATCATTCTCTATTTACATATAAATTATCTGAATTAATCAATCGAGCTCCATTAACTTCTTCGGATTTACCCGTAGGTCATTCATCTCAACTAATTTTACAAATACTTTTAGCACCAATATTTTTTCCAATTGGAGTTCAAGTTCGTGCTGGTGATGAAACGATGAATGAGCAAAATATTGATCAATCAAATCCTGAGCACATAATTGGCAAATATCAAAATTTTCTTGCATGTATTCAACAAATCAATATGATTAATGAAAAATTAGTTGATAAAACTATTCGAACTCCAATTGTTTTTCTCTTATCGGATAGTTATGAAATTCGTCGAGCTGCTTTGAAACTTAAACCATTATCATTAGAATGTTATAGACTATCTGAGAAAGAATGTCAATTGAATTATTATGATTTACATGTACTAGCAAGTCCAAATCCTGTTTTTCATGTGTCAAATGATACAAATCGCGTGTTAGCTTTTAAATTAGGAATGTTTGATATTTTTCTTTTTAGTTTATGTGAACAACATCTTATTAGTACAGAGAGTAGTTTCGGTCGTTTTCCTGCTTTTGCATCTCTAAAACAGCGAAATATATATTCACTTGGTCTTCATGAACTTAAATCATGTAAAAATGATGGTCTACCACTTTCAGCTGTAGGTTATCAGTGGTCCGGAATTTAAATATTTATTTTATGTTATTTATCAAATTTTCTAATTTATATAAATACTAAATGTAAAATCATATATATGGTTAGTAATAACCATGAAACATTTTTAAATATATTATCTGAATCTAATCTTATTCTCTAATACTCATTTGTACATTCAGAATAATCATAGAAGATAAGAAGGAAGGTGTGGGTGGAATAGTTATCGATGCGAATGTCGGTGACCGTAGGAAAAAAGTATTGTCCCTCGATTTATAAATTAATTACTTTGTTGCATAGATAAAAAAATTTATTTCGAAAACCTTCATATGAATATAATGTTAGAAGATTATTGTGTCTGAATAGGTCGTTTCATATGTTTGTTTCGTACCAGTTTGTGCGCTTTTATAAATAGCTTCTATCATTCGATGTCGAATAACAGCATCTTCCCAGGTAGGATATACTCCATCAGGTTTTGCAAATTCTTCGTATGCTCTGCCAACATTAACATGAGTAGCATGTTCATCTTCGATTGTGATTTCTGTCATATCTTCACCATCAAAACTAGCATGAAGTGTAGGAAAAGACATTTGTATATGTCCACTTGGACCTTTTACTTGTAGTTCACCATGAGTACCTTCCACTTCCCATAGAAGATTCGTACCTTTGTGTATTCCACCACGAAAATGAGCAGATGCGTATGCTCCCGAAGTTAATACTCCGCTAACACTCATTTGATCATGAGATGTAAGCGGTACACTACGAATTGTATTTCCCTTTCCATCTCGAATTTCAGTAGTTTTTCTTGCATTATGAATCGTTGCAGTAAGTGATTCAAACTCTCCGAAGACGTAACACATTGCATCTAATGAATGTCCACCAGGTATACTAATCATAGTTGCCCCATTTTCAATATCAGCAAGATATGCATTATCCTCATTAATTGAAGCACCCCATGCTAAACCTGATGCAAACAAATGAGTAGATAAAATCTTTCCAAGTTTTCCAGAATCAATAATCTCTTTCATCTTCTTGACAACAGAAGATTGACGGGCCTGTAATCCTACCATTGTTTTTATGTTTTTTGAACGAGCTAATTGAGTAAGTTCTTCTGCTTCCTGTAGATTTCTTGCAAGAGGCCATTCAACAATGGCATTTTTTCCTTGTAATACCGCCGGTGTAATGAGTTGTTTGTGTAATGGAACTTTGACAGATACTACGACAGTATCAATGTCTGGATCTTGTGCTAATTCTTCTGATGACGCATAATATTTATCAATACCAAATGTTTCAGCTGCTGATTTTGATGATTCAATAGTAGAATTTGCTAAAGCTTTGATAGTATATATAGAAGAATTCTTAAGATACGGTTCATGTGCAGCAGATGCCCAATGTCCTTCCGATGAAAGTCCTATGAATCCGATATTAATTTTAGAAGACATGACGCTTTAAGAAAAAAATAGTGTGTTTATATGAATACGATAGTTTTGCGTATCTAATGTTTTTATAAATATAAACGAAAGTGCGCGTGTCATTCTAATGCGATTCTTTTGCGTTCTGGTAGACTTAATCGTACGTAGAGGCCGCATCATATTTACCAACGTGTATCTCTCATACACTAAAAATGGAGAGAAAAATATTTATGTGCAGAACAACGTTAAAACATGTGTATTGATCATGCAATCCAATACTTTTCTTTACAAACAAGTTACCTGTATAATTGTAGTCGTATTATGATTCAAAATACTCTCGAATGAAATGAAATCTACTCAAGTTTAGACAGTAACAATAGATATGTCTGATAAAACTAAAAAATTAACATGCTTATAATATATTAATTTGACTTGGAATAAAATAAAGTAATATATTAAGTATTTTGTGTCAAAAATAAACTATTTAGTAATTTCAAGAGTCACTATTTGAGGTAATATTTCAACATAGAATCGATGGAGTTTATCAGAATCATTTGTAGAGACCTAACCCTCTGACAATTCAATTGAAAAGTGTATTGATTTCGAATAATGAATAAAGAACATCTACTGAACCAAGTTTATCGAAAATAATCAATAATTCTATTATTCATATTGAATAAATACGAATTTCGTCGGTTATCATTCAGTTATATATAGGCTACCCGCTAACTGTCGAAATATACGATCACCATATAATTTCTTTCTTACACAACAATCTGAAATCTAGACGATATGATGATGAATCATAACTGGTCAAATATACCTACTTACAATGTTTTAAGCATGATATAAAAATACTAACAAATTCTGTGATTGATTTGCTTTTTTTAAAGAAAATCTTCTTCAATTTATTGATTAATTATGAACAAGAATATTTACAAAAACAAAATTATATAACAATCAATCATCCTCGACTATCATACCAGCCGCAGCATAATTTTTCATCAACATATGTTTCAAATTGTACATCCATAATGATAACCATTTGAAAGGAATTTTCTAAAAAAATTTCTGTTATGTAATGAAAAAGAATTAAAATAATCAGTAACTCACTTGTTTTTTAATATTTGTCATAGAACCATAACCCACAATATTTGTATCATAATAAAACCAAAAAGAAATGAAAATACCAACTATGATTGCAAAAATTGCCAAACAAATATTATAAACTTGATGGGCGTAAGGCATCTATTTATGACGAAGAATCAAATTATATTTCAGTCCATATGTCAAAAAAGAAAACATACTTTGAGAAGGTCACTAAAACAAAGATAAAGCAAACAAGCAGCAAATGCAAATGGCATCGAAGCTATAAGCCAGTCACCATCAGTTCTGGTAAACCTTATCTAGTTGACAAATCACACAATTTACAGTTTAATTTCGATAAATAATACACTCACCCTGTTTGTTCCCCATGATGTTGGATCGAATAATACATAGTTAGGCCAACCCATAACAAGAATACTGAGTGAATTGATAAAGAATATCATGACGAGTTCTCCGAAACCTTTGCCAATATCTTTCATAGTCTGAATATACGATATGTGAATATATAGAGAATTTTATTTTTGATGAAAATCTTTAGGAAACTTACATAGAAATTGTAAATGCAATCAAAGATAAGCATGGCACTTGTCAGAGACAATGAGATGCACATGATAGGAGAATGTCGATATTTAGCTCTAATGATGGTTCTCTAAAAGATCAGCGGATTTTTATTTTTGATGTTGTTTTACGTAAAAGATTCACCATACTGACAGCTATTCTTTAAATCAACCCTTAAACTCGGATGTATTTGTTAAATACTTACATTTGTTGTTGCAGATTCCTCTGTCATAGTTACATAATGATCGATAATGACATAAACAGATTTTTTCTCGACACCCATGATGCTACGTAAAATATCAATCTTCTCACACTACAACTCGTGCTGTTCATAGGTGAAACATGCATACTTATATATATATGTATTGCAAACAATGTCCGTCGCTCGAACACAGGTGTTATGCTAGAAAGAAAGGTCACGAAGTCACATAGAGGTCAAGAGATTCTTTTGTCTATTATTGAATGATTAGATAATATTTATTGAATATTACATGTATTTCAATAGAAAAAAGTTAATTTTAGAATATTTTAATGATAAATTCATTACAATATCCTTCCGGAATATCAAAACAAGACCACACACTATTACTTTTGCTTACTTGAGGTGTGGGTACGGTTGAGAGTATAGGTAAATGATATCGGCATTTACTGATTATTAGTGTTTTATATATAGCTAAATATTGATTTCATAGAAGAATTGAAAGCCACTTTGCTAGCCATTATGACTCATACCCTTAAAATTCATCATCTATCTGTGTGTATAGAATCTTATAACATTGAGGGTGCGTGTGGATAAGATGTGCACTGTATTCTCACCCACACCGTAAATTCATCAGACTATTCGATGTATGATTAAGATAGATACAGGTACGAAACACTCTATTATCTTATATTATTCCTATAGATCCATGTTATATTCACACATGGAAATTAATGAATGATACGATTTGATTATACTTTTTCGAAGCTATATTACTCATAGATTCATACCTTCTTCAATAATAATTTATATATATTTTTTAGTTCGAAACCTATGGATCTATATATTCATATGATAAAATAATTTTAGTTGTATTTGAGTATATAGTATTGATAATAATTCTTATAATACAGAATTAAATAATTAAAAATATCCAGAGTCTACAATGGTCGCACCGCTACTACGTAGTAATGAGTTAGTAACAGTGTCAATAGCCTCAAACTTATCAAATTATACTCACCAATTCTTAATAAAATCTAAAAAATGAGAAAAAAATGTGTCTGCTAACTATTTTATATAAAAGTGCCTTTACTTTATTTGTTATTCTCTTGTTATTCTTTTAATATATGTATATTAACAGTACTAAAAGCAAAATTTAGAGTATGACACTTATTCTATTTCTAGAATACAATTAAAATAAACAGTATAGAAATATGTAAATTATAGAATATATGATAAAGTTTCAAATGTTTTCCTTGTTTTGTTCTATTTCGACTTTATATATTAAAAAATATGAAGGTCGTGATTGAATGATGGTAAAGTTAGGTTATCATTTTCTTGTTTGATATTTCTATCAAACTTAATTTTTTTTTTCTTTGAGATAAACCATCACTTTCGGATCTTCATATACTGTTAGAATATATCAGCTAGTTAAACTGAAATAAAATTGGTGTTGTGTAATATGATATAGCCTTGTATAGAATGAAAACATATTTCTTATGAAAGTATTATTATGCAATACCGTCTAGCGCGCTGACACTCAATCCGCCTCGATCCACAGTTACGCATCTTGAGAGTGTAGGTGTTAATGATGCATCAGAAGAATGACCACACTCACACCCACGCCCTCGACTATCTACTCTTTTCACCCATATTGAACCCAAAAATACTTCGACAGACGAATTATACTATAAAGCAAGGCATTTTGTTACTGATTCATTATTAAACACGCTGATATCTTTGAAGACAATATTGTTATCTTCATTTTGATAAAAAAATAATATTTGTATACAACATGAAAAACGTTTATTTACTTTAAATTTGTAAAATAAGAAAAGAATTTTTGTTGATACTCAAATGAATAAAAAAATGTCATTAACATGGTTCATTCGATTTCCTACTGAGATTATATATGAAATTTTCGATTATTTATCTTCTAATGATATTCTTTATACATTTTTTTATTATAATAAACGATTAAATAATCTTATAATTCATGATCAACACCATATAAATTATTTCGAATTACCCTCATCTAATTCCAAATTCTGGCAAACTATTTTATTTACTATCGAATCAAAAATACAAACATTAATAATTTCAACTTTACCATCATCTATATCATTAAATAATTTTTCAAATTTATCATCAATTATAATAAACTCATCATTTGCTTTAACTTTTGCACAATTCGAATCCATATTAAACAATAAACAATTTCATAAATTAATTTCTTTTAAAATTTTAAATCAACATTCTATCAATACAAATTTTTTACTAACAAAAATTTTTAATAAACAAAATTCATTAAAAATATTTCAATGTACGTCTACAATGAATTTCTATTATCGAAATAATCCTATTGGTTTACAATCAAATATTCACCTAAATTCTTTAATATTAAATTTAAATAATTTAAAATATATTTATAATTATATTCAATATACACCGAATTTAAAATATATAAATATTCAATTAAAAGAATTTTCTTATCCGGATAAACAATATAATTTTTATAAATTTAAATTACAAAAATTGTCGATAATAACTAAAGATAGATATCAAGATGAAATAAGGGACCGTGCAAGTATTACGTTATCCAGTTTACGAGGAGGAGGGATCAGTCAATAATGACAATTGATTACTGTGAGAAGGGGAGGAATCACTCAAGCTTGACGTTTACAGATTTCTGACTGTACAACAGATTTGTCTATCATGGAAAAATTCGTAGTGATAACGTAATAAGTGGAGGGAGGGTTTACAGAAAGTTGATATTTGATTATTTGGGGAAGGGAGCAAGAGGGTAATAGCTGGCACCCAGCATTTAGTACTTGCGCAGCACCTCAGCTCCTATTTAGGACCTGTTCATTACCTCAGTACCTGCTCAGTGTCTCAGCCAAAGAGGTAAGAGCTGGCACCGAGCACCGAAAAACACCGAACAGGTGCTGAAAAGGTGCTGAGTGCTAGGTGCCGGCTATTATCCCCTTGGCTCAACACCTGTTCAGTACCTCAGCACTCGCTCAACACCTCAGCACCCGTTCAGCATCTCAGCACCTGTTCGATGTTTTTCGGTGCTGGGTGCCAGCTCTTACCCCCTTGGGGGGTGTCAAAATGGCCAAAAACCGGATAACCTGATTACTTGCACAGTCCCTAACAGAAAATGATTTAATTGAGTTAATTAATTTTATAAAAACTTTTTCATTATCATTAAAATTTTTATCATTAAATTTTACTGATTCAATCATTAGTCCTGTTAATAATATATTATGGAATGGTGCTAAACTTAAAAAAGATTTATTACAAACAATTAAACAATTAAAATATTTTCATTTAAATGTTAAATTGTCAATTGATGGTTCATATGAAATTTTATCAACATTTCAAAATCAATTCTGGTTTGATCATCAATGGTATTTTGAAATAAATCGTTTTTATCTCTATTCATTACCATATCAATTTAATGAATATTATGAATATGATCATATGAAATTCTCTAATAATATTATTCTTGAAAATAAATTATATTTATGGCCTAATGTTAAAATAATTCATTTCGAAAGATTTGATAAAATTGATTTAATTGGTTTTATAAAAACGCAAATGCCTAATTTACAAATAATAAAAATAAATAAATCGTGTCGAGATAATTTCAATATGATGATAGAAAACTCTTCAAAATGTTCTCGGGATAAAAGAATTGATCATTGTATTAATACCGTAACAACTCTTGATATAAACTGTAGAAAAATGGAAAATGAAATCGAATATTTAATAAATATATTACCAAATTTAAAATATTTAATATTAAATGATTCTCATTTACCATCAATGACAAGCAATTTAATTCCAATATTAAATAAAAAAATCGAACGGTTAGATATTACATGTTCTTATACCTTGGAAAATTTATTTACAAATATTTATATGTATTTTTCCAGCGTTAAATATGTACAATTTACATTTGATTTTACATTGAATACTTTTTCAAGATCAGAAATAATTCGGAATTGTTTAACTAATCTTCCGAATTTAATAAGTTTAACAATATATCCTTTAGCACCAAAATATCATTCTCATGATTATGAATCAATTTTTAAACCTATTTTAGCAAAATTAGATAAAAAATATATTCAAAATAATTATGAATTAAAATATCTGGATGATTCTTTATCGTTTCTCAAAAAAATCTCTTCAAATAATGATAACAATCAATCAACGACATCATCATTTTCTCTGCCTTTATTTATATTACTCTGCTTTATATTCATCATTATTCTATATAACTTTATATTATCACAAAGACTGCTTGACAAAGCTATTGATAAATTATTCTATTAATGACGTATGAGTTAACAAAAATATATATTGTTCTAGATTATATTTCACGATTTATAAACATGTTAGTTTTAGTCTGTTAGTGATGAATCCATTCGGATGATATTAAATTTTTTATGACATAGGATAAAAATCATCATAAAAATAAATTGAACACCAGCCAAAATATAAAAATATGTATAAAAAGGCCAATTCGCAATATCTCCCATTCGACACTAGAATATTATAGAAATGATAAAAGGAAAATAATTGTTTGATTTAAATATTTACGCTAAAATCTATATTAAATGAAGTTGTTGGAAACCAGGCCATAAATCCACTGCCAATAAATGAAGATACACCGATTGAAGCAAAACGAAGGCTCATAAATAATGATTGAGCTGATTGGGGAGCAGCAAAATAAGCAAACTCATAGCTTGCTACCATGGCAAATACTTCTGAAACGCCCATACATATACTTTGTATTGATAAAATATATACAGACATGCTTGATTCGTCACTGCCTGATAAAAGAATCAACTTAATTATTTCTAAAATAATATTTTTTAAAATCTAATACTATACTTGGATTGCATTGATCACGTCGAAATTTTTCTACTGTGCCTGCAATAACCATTGTGAAAAGTGCAAAAATCATGCCGATAATAAGTTTATTTCTTATGCTCGTTGAACTATGTCGAGCATCGACAGATTTATATATGATGATATTGAGTATTAATAGACCAATTAGAAAAAAAATAATCATATTAGAATATAACTATCAATATTCAATGAACTTACTGACAATTATTATTGGATCACCTAGTGACATTAATGTAGCAATATTTTTTACATCTGATGGTCGATGCATATGTTCACCTTGCAGAGGAAATGTTGCATTCAACTAAATAAATTATTATCAAGCGATTTACTAATAAAATTTATCATACTTGATGGTAGATTAAGAAGTATGGAATGAGAAGAACAAATACAAAAAATGCACGACGAAGTGATATCACATCTCTCACCATACGTTCACTAAATTTTCCACTGGTAGCTGCAGATGATAAATCAAAGAATCTGGATGGTCGGTCATCTGATTGTATTGTATTATCTTCATTATGAGATTGACATTTTAATCGGCAAGCAGTTATAGTAACGGGAATACAGTGTACGACTACTGTATCATACGGTTCTGTCTTTATATAATATTGATTACCAATAATGAACAATAAGAAAGCAACAACAAGATATACTGCTGCAATAACATATCCATGAAAATAAGATTTTGGATCCAATTTAATTAGAGAAGTGGTAAGTGTTCCAACAATACCACCAATATTTATTGCTATCATATATTTGTCAAAATAACGTGATGTTGGTCTTGAATCTGGAATTTGTTCTGCTCCAAATACAGCCATATTTGATTGAATAGATCCAGCTCCAACTCCACTTTATAAATACAAAAAAAAATATATATATCAGAAAAATACTATAGATTTACATAATAACCAGTATTGTGAGAATCCATTCAGCACATGGTTCTTTTATCAATGTAACTGAATACAGATCGTTAGTTTTATTAGATGCCCTCGCTATACACATGTGTACATCTGGAGCTGTTACTAAGATAGCCAAAATATAGCCGATTATATACAGCACAAAACCTATAGAGAAAAATTGAGCATAAATAATACGAACTAGAAAAAGGGTTTTTTTATAATTTACCAAAGACGATTGTTTTAGCTCTACCCGATTTAGCATCACTGATTATAGCAGATGCTATTGTTGAAATATTCGTTATACCTATTGTAGAAAATAAAGACAAAATAATTTTGTTTATAGATTAAACATGAAAATTATTATTTACCGAAAAAAATGAATGCAGCAACAGAACTATTTTGTGATGACCAATCAAGCAATGCACTTGAATCGAGATGAACGACAAGATTTGTTGCTAGTGCATAAAATGCAGCACGCTCAAGAAGGGTACTCACAAGGACAAAGTATTCCGCCAACTTTTGTTGCTTCGGAGATCGTATGTCTCGTCGAGATTTAGAGAGACTATATCCAGATCTAAGTGGTATTAATTCTTCTGAATCTGATCTATCCATTAGTTAAATTTTAAATCAAAATCTCATATAATAAATATCTAAAGTACAAATAAAATAAAACTATTAAAATATATGATAAATATCAAACTGAAATCCACATGCAGAACAATATATTTACTTTCAATGTAAAAAAGATAAGAAAGAAAAATAAATACCTTAATTTTTACCCTTACTAACTGGTTCGTATATGACACAGAGTGAAACTTTTTTTTTTACAAAAAAAAAGCAAAGATATCTTCCACTATTAACCAGTTCATGATTAAAAAGTTTCTCGAGACAGAAAGAGTACAAATCGCATTATATTAGTATGATTTGATGGATGAATTAGATGGTTTATAACGAAAGTTTAATCGTCAACGAAATACAGAAAGTATGAACTAAAAAGTATGCCGATGATATCATATTAACAGTTATATAACTGCATCACATTTGACATACGCATTTTATGAATCATAAAAAATATTCATTGTCCTGTAGTCTATGAATTTAATCATTAGTTTTATCTTATCTACTTCTCTTTCTTTCATGACAAATTATAAACATTATTGTACTTCGTACCTGTTTGTATATTTCTCATTTGTTGAATTATTCCTTTAAAATTTTCTATTATATTTTTATAAGAACCTAGTATAGTTCTCTATTCTCAATAGTAAATTATATCTAGAATTTTATTAATTCCATTTGAAAGGAAATATGAATAAATATAGGATTTTGATATTAACATGACAAAAAGTAATAAATAGTTATGTGGCTTTACGATAATTATTAATATACTGAAGAAACAATAGCTTTCGCGTCTACAGACCCATAATCAGTTGCAAGAATTAATAATTGAATACGAGAAACGAATTATTAACACAAAAAATAGTACATATAGCACCACGAAATATTGATTAGTTATTAGCAAATTAACTGATGATGAGTCTGTAGACTCGAAAGCTATTGTTTCATTATATTAATAATTATCGGAAAGCCACAAAAACTATTTATTACTTTTTATCATATTAATTCCATTTATTTATACTAATATAATCGAAAGCATTAGTTTATTATAAAAATTATTTTTCTTTACACTATATAACAGAGTATTCAAGAATAATAAATCAACTATAAAAAAATCTCTTATATTGAGAAAAATTTTATTTTATTTTTTTACAAAAGCTTTTGAAATTCAATATCGGATATTTTTACACATAACCATTATAGTAGAATTTAAAAGTCAAAAATATGTCCCAGACAAAATTTGCTTTTCTTTCCGCGCGAAAATTTGAATCTTTTTTTTTTGGTCGGGCAAATTAGTAACAATTTATAAGATAAATAACGTATCAATTGATCAAGGGAAACTTATTTTAAAATATTTTATCGAGTAGACATATTATTCGCACGATCTGAAATGATAAAACTTACTCAATGAGATAAAAATAATCATTCTACTCACCTCACTCCTGAAAAAAAATTTATGATCTTCTTTAAAACAGCTGTCATATATTTTGTTTTATACATATGCCACACTCTCTATCTTCCAAAACTATATTCAATTTATATTGAATACAACTTGCGAACTCTACATCTTCCAAAAAGTATATTCAGTTTTTATCGAATACAACTTAAGAACTTTACAACTTTGAAAAATTTAAGATAATAATGACAACTGAATTATTATTTGAAAATTTTTAAAAATCATATGATCATAGAATCATTTTAAAATTGAGTTTAATTTTGCTAAGCCTGAATTCTGCCTGACACAAATATATGTATATTCAATGAGTTACAATTATCATCTACAATTTATTTTTTGTATAATCAAACAGACAAAAAATATGAAAATTAAAATTCAATCGACAGGATAAACCTTAGAATGAGTATAAAATCTTTTATCAAAAGATTTTGTACTAAAATTTACAGTATGCTCTTTTATTTTTAAATAATTTTTTATTAAGTTCATTAATAAAACATTTAGTCAATGCCCAATAAAGAATAAATTATTTTTTTGATATAATTTGACTCATTAGAACTGTATATTCTAAAAAAAGTAAATTATATTTACATATAAACCAGAAAAAAACGAACCAACGTTTTCCTCTTTTATTTTTTTGCTTTCTATCTAATACCCAGACGACCACAGGTGAATCTCTCAATTTTGTAATTATTGACTTATGTTTTTGTCGTTCTGGATATAAAGAAAAAAAAAAGTAAAAACAAACGTGCGTGTGACGACCAGTGGTAAATGTGCATACAGATATTTTTTTTCATATAAAAACTAGTTAAAAGAAATTATTTGATTAATCAAGCATGACTTAACAAATACAAAAAAATATAATATTGCACAATACAAAACAAGCTTCCTATGAGAACACATTCAAAAAATATATACATATCGATCTGAAAGAAAAAAATCAAATTAATAATAATAATTATTATATTATTTCTTATTATTAACATCTACATTACTTTGAATAAATAATATGGATAACGTCGAAGATATAACTATTGATATCGGTAATGATGATGATCGAGATGGTGAAGAGAAAAACAATTTAAGAAATATTGATACAGCATCTCCTCCATCGGAAAATGACAAAATTCCAACATTTCAAACAGCAAATATTCGTATTGCTCAAAATTTTCTTATTGTTTGGTTAGACAAAATTTTTAATGAAGTTGATCATGCTGATTGTATTGATAGTATTACACAACTAAGAGAAATAGTGAATACTGTACAGATATTTTCAAATATTGATCAATGCATTGATTTTATTTCTAGTATTGAAGATGAAAAAATTTTTATAATTTCTTCCGAAGAATTTGGTCAAACTATAGTTCCTATTGTTCATGATATGTCACAAATACATTCAATTTATGTTTCTTCGGAACAAACAATACAAGATGAAGAATGGATTGATGAATGGTCGAAAATCAAGGGTATTTTTAATAGTATTACATTAATTTGTGAAGAATTAAAACTTGCTGTTGATGTTTGTGATCAAAATTCTGTTCGTGTTAGTTTTATTAAATCAGCTGATAGATTTGCAAATAAAAGTTTAGATGAACTTGATCAATCTTTTATGTGTATACAAATATTAAAAGAAATTTTACCAGAAATTGATTTCGATCAAAGCCATTTTAAAGATTTTATTAAATATTGTCGAGAAGAAATATTTGTCAATAATGATGCTGAATTATATAATGTTGATAAACTTGAACAAGAATATCATCGTCGTGATCCAATTTGGTGGTATACATCGAATTCTTTTCTAAATTCAATGCTCAATAGAGCATTACATACAATGGAAATTGATTTGATTATGAAAATGGGCTTTTTTATTCGAGATCTTCATCAAAATATTACCGAACTACATGCTGAACAATATAAGAAACAGAATCGAAAGAATTCTTTTACTGTATATCGTGGTCAAGGTTTATCTCAGGTAGATTTTGATGAATTGAAAGAAACACAAGGTGGATTAATGCTGTTCAATAATTTTATATTGACAAGTCTAGATCGTGCAACATCACTAGCTACTGCTGAAAGTAGTCAAGAAAATCCTGATTATGTAGGTGTTGTTTTTGAAATAACTATCAATCTATCAACATCATGTACTTCATTTGTTAATATTCGTGATGTTAGTTATTTTCAAAATGAACAAAAAATGCTCCTTACAATGCATTCAGCTTTTCGTATTGGACAAATAAAACAAATTGAAGGAGATACTGATCGTCTATGGCAAGTTAATTTAACTTTAACGAATAGTAATAATAATTTACAATTAAATCATTTAACTGAACATATACGAAAAGAAATTGATCCTAATCATAAAGGATGGTATCAATTAGGTTATTTGATGATTAAATTAGGTAAATTTGATAAAGCTCAACAAGTGTTTGACATTATGCTTGAGCAAACAACTGATATAAATGAGAAAGCAAAGCTTTATCATGCACTTGGATTGGTTAGTCATAATCAAGGAAGACATCAAGAAGCGATTGAATTTTTTGAAAATTCAATCGAAATCAATCAGCAAATTCTTCCACCAATACATATCGATTTAGCGGCATCTTATAATGGTCTTGGTTCTGTATATAATAGTATGAATAAATATTCTCGTGCAGTTATGTATTATGAAAAAGCATTTCAAATCTATGAAAAAACTCTTCCTTCTGATCATTTGGATTTAGCTGATTTATACAATAATTTTGGAGAAGTATATAATAATATGCAAGAATATTCTGAAGCACTTACGTATTATGAAAAAGTACTTGAAATTAAACAAAAAGCACTTTTTCCAAGCCATCCTGATTTAGCTACGTGTCATAGTAATATTGGTTTGTTACATAATACCATGGGTGAATATTCGAAAGCACTTTTTTCTCATAAAAAAGCACTTGAAATTCGTCAAAAATCTCTTGTTCAAAATCATCCAAATCTTGCTATATCCTACAAAAATATTGGAGAAGTATATTATAATATGCAAGAATATTCTGAAGCACTTATTCATTATGAAAAAGCACTTGAAATTGAACAAAAAGAATTTACTCCATATCATGCTTCTTTAGCCGATACTTTCAATAGTATTGCAGGTGTATATGATGAATTGGATGAACATTTAAAAGCACTTACAAATTATGAAAAAGCACTTTACATCTTTCATGAAATACTTCCACCAAATCATCCTTCTTTTGCTATTTCTTATAATAATATTGCAGGATTATATGATGCGATGGAAGATTATTTACAAGCACTTCTATATTATAAAAAAGCACTTGATATTTCTTATAAAACATTTCCTTCGAATCATCCTTATTTTGCTCCACTTTATGGACATATTGGAATGGTATATGTTCGAATTGGTGACCAAATAACAGCGCTTGAATATTATGAACGAGCTCTTGAATTATCAGAACTATCATTACCTTCGAATCATCCTCATCTTAAATTATATAAAGAAAGTATCGAATATATAAAAAAGAACTTATAATTGTTTTTTATTGTTTTGTTATTTGAAAATAAAGAATTCGATCAATCAGGATGACCGGAGTTTATGAAAATTAATCGAAAAGAAGGATGTGAGTATGAATAGCATGTAACTACACCCACATTCACACCCTATAATACTAATTTTTATAAAATAAGTTAGCGTTAAAAATTCACAGCAGTTCTCGTTTTATTTTCTTTCTTTACAGAAAGAATAAATAAGAACAGCGTGTTTTCACGTTGTTCTTATCTTTTAGAATGTAGTTAAATGTTGATATATAATTTTACTATGTGGCCAGATTTCAAAAGAAAACGATTATAAAAGAATAAGCATACTTTTTTCCAGTGAAAATGGAATTTGTTCATAGTTTGTTAATATCATTTATATTCTTTATGACATGTTTATCAATTCAAGGAGAAAAATTTTTTGTGTCAGAGTTCGGTGCTTATTCAAATGATAATATCGATGATACTCAAAGTATTCAATCAGCTATTGATAAAGGTATTAACTATGGATCTGGTAGTATTATTATCTTTGGACATGGTACATATAATTTATCGTCAACAATTTCTATAACAAATGCAAGTAACTTGACAATAATAGGACAAGGAATAAGTGAAACATTATTAGTTGGTACTACACGAATGTTTATATTCTTTGCTCAATATTGTGATGGTTTGAAAATAGCTTCATTATCAATTGATTTTGATCCATATCCATTTACTGCTGGCTACGTTGTTAATGCGACAAATACTTATCTAGATATTCGAGTACAACCACCACATCGTGCTGATATTGATCAACGTGTATTAGGACTTATTCGATACGATCCAATAGAAATGAGACCAGCTTTTGGGCCAAATACTTATAATTTTTACCAAGTACCACCAAATTATGCTGATACAAGTCTAATTCGTACTAATATCTTACGTATACCATTAGCATCATTAACTGGACTGAATATAGGAGATGCAGTTGTTGCTGTTTATGATATTGCAGTTCATGCTATATATATTCATGATTCGATAGATGTTACTATTCAAACAATCAATGTTCATTCATCGTGGGGCATGGTTTTAATTGCAAATAGAGTAAGACGTCTAACAGTATCCGATTATCATGTTACACCAATGAATGGACGTTGGTTAAGTGCTAATTCAGACTGTATGCATTTTATGGACACGAGAGAATATATCTCGTTATCAGATAGTAAATGTCAGATGCAAGGTGATGATGGATTAAATGTTTTAACACCTTATGTAATTGTTACAGACATAATTAATTCCAGTACTATTATTATTCAAGCATTTAATTGGACTGATCCACTTAATATCGAAGATGGTACTCAACTAGAATTTGCTAGTAGTAAACAACCATTTACAGCTTATACTAGAGGAAAAATTGCTTCGTCCACAGTCTATACTTCTACTTCACGATTATTTATGTTTACTACTTCAATTAATGTTAGTATTGGTGATTTAGCCTATGTTGGTGATACACCTTCATTAACCATACGAAATTTTACTGTGGAACGTAATCGAGCTCGTGGTGTTCTATTAGAAACACGAAATGTTACTATAAGTCAATCAATATTTAATAAAACAAGTGGTCCAGCGATTCTCTTTCAACCATCTCTATATTGGCATGAAGGTCCTCCAGGTCGAAATATAACTTTAACGGAAAATCTTTATATTAATTGTAATGAAGGCATTGGACAACAAGAAGGTTTTATTACTATTTTACCAGATCCAACACAATTAATACCAGTTATTACTGATATTCGAATAGAATCATCTACATTTTATTTTGGAAATTTTAGTCGTGGTCTTATACAAGCTACTAATGCTAATAATATTTATATTACTGGTAATTATATTGCTACAAATACTTCTACACCTTTAATAACAATATGTAATAGTCGAAATATTACTGCAAATAATAATACTGTGATTGATTTAAAAGCCAAAATAGATCAATATTATACATTTGATACTACTGACCCATGTCATGTGAACCTTAGCAGTTTGATTGATTTACCTCCTTCTGCATTTAATTCATCATTTCCACCACCTGTTATATTAACATAATCACTTATTCAAACTAATAACTTCTATAACTAGACAATATTCGACTTTCACTCGGCTATATGAAATGAGATGCGAGACTTGATATCGAAATTACGATTTTAAGATTTTTACATGTTTTTAAATATTCGAAATCATTCTAGAATAAAGTTAAATTTGAGTGTGGGTGTGGGTGCCACTATGTGTGTGTAAGACGAAGACAGCTCCAACACTCATACCCACACGCTCAATATATGGCAACATGCATTACCTTCAACTCATCCTCATTTAAATAATGTGAAACACACTACTGGAACTGTAAAAAATAAGCTATAACGAATGTTTGATAAATATATAACAGAATATTTTATTCACTTATTTTTGAGGATGTGGTCGTAAATATTATAATCATCTCTCACACCCACTCACACTATTATGGGTATGTTGAAAGCGATTGATATATTGACCTCTAGACAGATAAATGGCAACTGATTCCTTCGAGACTGACGATCATTGAGTAAAGACTGAAGTGAAAATACGATATCATATTAGAACTAAATTACTGGATTGAGATTTTATAAATTTTGAGTTAAATCAGACATACTGTGTATACAATATTGCATAAATTCAAATAAGATATAATTTTACTTTTTTGAAAAACTGAATCGTAAAAACTACTCCAACGATTGATTTATTCAAATAAGAAATAATTATTAAAAAAAAAGAAATAAAGTCTACAATTATTATGATGATAATCAATGAAACAATACAAATAATATGATCTTTATTGAAAAGAAACTGTCATAACTTGTGATGGTGAACCGCATCCTGTTCTGTTAACACCACCCCAGTTACCGTTACCAATACAAGGTCTTAGAGTGTATGTTGTACTACACTGACAAATCGTATTTGTTTCGGATAATTCTATCCCAGAACCACAGGTGCCAACACTCCATGTAATTCCATTTGAAATACCAGTATATGCAATAGAAGTTCGTAATGCCGTGGCAATAGCATTAACAGTAGTTTTGTTCGTTGCAGTAATGCCAATTGTATCATAACTACCACTTAAAGTGAATGATGTATAGTTTAAACATGACAAACTAGTTTGAAAAGATGTCCAATTTGTACATTGACTTGACGTAACAACACCAGAAACAAAACTTGCTGAATATAGTCTTGGTGTACAGGCGGTAAATGTCGTTGCTTTGAAATAGATGCATATTATAATTATACATGTTGATATTAAAATAGACTTACTTGTTCCTGTCGATGTTGTTGCTAAAACAAATTAGATAATTTGATTGATTAGTTTTCTTTTTTTCATGTAAACTTACTTGTAGTAATAGCTGTAGTATTTGTTTCTAAAAGAAGAATACAAGAGAAAAGGAAATTGTTTTTTATTATTTTGTGAAATCTATTATAAACATTTAAGTAAAAGATTATACCTGTTGTAGTATTCGTTGTTTTTGCTCCAATAATAATGAAAAAATATATGCAAACTCCTATAACTATTAAAGCAAGTAAGGTAAGCATGATTCCAAGAGGAATAATAAACCCTTTGCGACAGCTTTTCTTTTTTTCTATAGTTGGTGAGTTTCTATTATACAAAAAGAAAAAAATTATTTGATAAAAATTAAAAATCGTTTATGGAATTAGTTAACTTACATTTGAATATTTTTATTTGAAGATAAAGTAGAGACAGTGAGTAACTGATTTTTTTGATCTTGATCTTTTGTTATCCATGGATCTTCAGCAAGATCGATGGGAGATGCAGAAGCTATTGGTGAATTTTGATGTGGTAACAAATTAGTATATACTTTGCGTGATTCCTCATGAATCGGTTCTACCTTTAGGAGAGAATATTTGCTTCGTTACAACTGAATAATAGATTTATATATTACCTTTCTTGGCTGTCGGCCTAAACTCAATCTTGAAACAAATGCCACTCGAATAAATCGGTATCTGTTCATTGAAAATCAATGATAGATCTGTATGTATTTTTTTATAATCGATGAATATAATATTACTTTATGTTATTTTAAACCGTATTTATACGTTAATAAATATGGCAGTACCGTAGTTATGCTGATCTAATCAATAACTCATTGTATTTCTTGATTACATTTTTTTTGCAAAATCCAATCATACATATATAAATTCAATATAGATTCCATAAGAAAATGTTTACAAACCTTGTTTTGTTCGAATAAAATAATAATAAAATCATACAAGTATATCTTTTTGTCCAGGACATGTCAATATTTCAATGAAATATAAAATTCAATTTCATATGAAGATTAAAAAGTGTATCTTAATAAAATATTGTTTTGAAAATATGTCATATAGTTTGAACAAGATAATTTATTACTCAAATTCTTAGTGCAATACCTTTTGACCTCATAAACAATCCATATAAGTATAGATGAATTGTTAAAACACATTCGTTCATTTATTAAAGATGAATGTTGATGAAGTATGACAAATTCACAAATTATTCATCATATTTTAGCTGATAGAATTTTGAAGATTCGTTCAGTATCATTAAAATCTTTTGAATTATAGCAAATGAACTATATAGTCTATATATGTTATTATACTTTTTTGTTGTTTTTTTGTTAAGTGATACTTGCTGTATGTTTTTAACTTTAGATAATAGATTTTATTTATAATTTATCATGAGTTTTTATATGATATATAAAAAAAATTTAAAAAAATAAATTCATGATTATGTTAAATTTTAAATTAATTTTTTAATTATTAAAAAATAGAAAGTTCTATAAAATAGATTATAAATTAATTGAATTTAAGCCATATTTGGCAGCATCGTTGATTGTTCGTTGTCTATCGTATCATTTTGTTCACTGGTAGATGATGATTTTATCGTATTCATTGGAATCATTTGCGGTTTTTCAGCTTTTTTAAAAAGAATCATGGCACTATCTCGAATGAAAAACCAACCACCATTAATCACAAGAAGATCAGTAATCAATCTTTTTTGACGTGTACTTAGTAGATGTAACTCAGTTATATTTGGTATATTACTAAGGACGATAAATGATGCACCAGCAATCATTACAGATACTTTTATCCAATTTTCCATATTTGATGGACTTAATAATTTTTTTCGATCTTTCCATTGTAATTTTAATTTCGCTTTATTTGTATTTAATATAGCATGTGGAATTTTCTTATGTGCAAGATATCGTTGCCATGAATGATTTATTAATCCAGTACTCATTCCAGATAAACAACCTGCTATATAACGTGTAATTCCATGTATAATAAGAACGTGTGTTTCTGATACTAAATTATCTTTATATCTTAAGAATAAAGTAGTTTGTGTAATATAAAAAATAGTAAATGTTTGCCACATAAAATTTAAAACAATTGCATTTAGTGGAGCACCGAAGAAGAAACGTTTGAGACCCTGATATCTTGTTTCTGCATATAGTCGTCTATTTCGCATTTCTGGTTTATTAATATAAAAACCATGAAAAATATGTGTACTTATAGCGATACCCATTCGTGAAGCATGTGTATGAATATATCCAGCAGTTAATTGTGCAAAAGCAGTCGCGAATATTGTAATTAATGATTTTGTTCCAAAACAAAGAGCAGTTAATGTAAAAACTGCTGGTACTATAGAAAATGAGAAGTTATAAGCAATAAATCCCATAATAATACCGGAAAGACATGTATTTAAAATACCCAAATCTTCGATTTGCACAGTAATTTTATCGTTTTTCTTTGCTATTGACTTCATATTTTTTGAATCCATAATGTATAAATGAAAAGAAAAACAAAGCTTACAGACAGTATAAAGAAACAAAATAACATGTGAGAAAAAAATTATATTTTTCAGTTATGTTTTTGCGCATACCTATTTAGTGGTGCATGTCTATTATAATTATTCATTTCTGCAGGTCGCTATACGAGCCCCCATGTATCTTTCTTTGCTTGTTACGCATAAATACGTAATAGTATGTATGTGTGTGTGTAATAAAACATTAATTACGATGATTATTAGGTTGGAAAAAAATATAGAAACTTCAAAATATTTATTTTACTAAACAATAAATTTAGTCATAATCATAGTAAAAGAAGATTAAAAAATATTAATGATGAAATAATGTTGTTATTTAAATAACTTAAGATGACAAATACCATACTAAAACTATTTCTTTTTTTTAATTAAGGAAAGTGCATTTATTCATATTATATAGATCTTGATGAACGATAGAAGTAGAATTTTGTAAGATTTCGAAAATCTACAAATGCCTATCGAGTAGAAGTTTTGATTTAATATGAATGAATTGAAACATAATGTTTTATTTCTAATAATAAATATTTTTAGCTGTTAACTCTATGTTTTCTAAAAATTGTTGCTATAAAATATGATTTAATTCCAAGAAATATGTTGTAGATCATGTTTCAATTAGAAATATATTTTTCAATGATAATTATTGAAAAAATAAATAATTTTAATTATGTAAGAAAAATAAAATATCTGAGTCATTATTGAATAAAATGCATTGTTTTTTTTTTATAAAATAAGCTATACGATAGAATCAAATTGATATTATCTTATAGCATTGTTATACTTTCTGCTAAAAATAGAAATGTTACAATTCGAAAATTTTTTCCCACAATAACAAAAGTATTGTATTTATTTAAATACATTTTTTCGTGCGTATATATACACATTCGATAAAACAAGTGTTATAATGGATAAGTCGACCGAATTTATATATAGACTAGAGAATTTTGACCAACTTTTTATCTAAATATATTTATTATTTAGTCCTATTGGACAAAATATATGTATCTCGACTATAGGCGAAGAAAAGAATATATATATATACAAATAGAATGATAGATTGCCCTCGACATATCGTCTGCTTTTTTCTTCTTATCTCGTCTTAATATAAACATTTGTCTATCTCTTTGTAAAGAATGTTGAAAGATATAGACTGGCGATTAGTAGATTGAATATAGTTGGGTATATATAAGATAATAGAAACGGCATATTCTTTTTCATTATATATAATAACACAATAAATTCCAATGGCTTCATCAATGGTATTTTATACATCTGTTGCTTTACTTTGTCTTTTAATAATTACTCCTGTATCAACTGCTGATCTATGCAAATGGTATGGTATTGCTCCATTTTGTTTTATTGGTAATTCATGTCCTGATGGATGCTTTAAAACATTAGAAAGTAACAAAGGTGATGGTTTTCCATGTTGGTTTTCAGTTAAAAAACATTGTTGTTGTCCAAAACGAGCACTTGATTCAATAATCAATAAACTTGTATCAAGCGATAAAAAATAACGCTAAAAAAAATAAAGTAAAGATTACGTATTAAAACTAATCTTTACATTTTCTTTAATATAAATATTAGATATTCGAAAAAACATTTTTGTGCGTTATTAACTTTTTTTGTAAAATAAAACTTCTAAAGTTTGATTTATTCTTAAATATATATCACTATTGAAATTAAAATTTTTAGTTTTTAGTAATGAATAACAAAAATGTATTGACAATATTTTATACAATCAAAACATATATATAGTCAAGAGTTAATGCTTGAATAAAATTTTATTGTCATAAGAATATATAACCATAGATTTCAATATAAGTTATATTGTTAATATATTATATTTAGAAGCCGTGAAAAATTTTCCCAGCTAAATATTGTCTTAATTTATTATTGTAAATAAATAGACTAATAATCAAACAGACTAAACTAATTTCAGCCCAAATACCAAAAAATCCATACGTAAATGTTGAAACTTCCATGTTAGAATTAATGATCATTAATATAGAAAAAGGTCCCCAACCAATAACGAATATCAGAAACATATAGATCATATGTTTCAATAAACGAACATGACGCTGATTTACTCTTAGTCTATTATTTAATCTATTATCTAGATTCAATACAATAGTTTGAATAGGTTCGATACGATTAAAAGATGTATTAAGTAGCATACGTTGAAATGAAAAATGACCATAGATAAATAGACGTACATTAACCAGTAGAGAAATCAATGAACAAACCACGATAGTAATAACCATTGTATAAATTGATACCCATCGAGGATAACTACAATTCTATAATAAAAACTGTAAAGTAAAAAATGCTTTTATAGTCTGTGCAGTACGAATATCTTAGTCCTCCATTAGATTCGAAAACGATCAAATATTCTTCTATCAGGATAAATTTTTTTTTGTTACTATTAGATATCAAAATGAACAATACTTTTTTATTTTTTTATGTATTAGCTACTTTTGCAAAATAAAAAACTGTAAAAATAGATTTTCATTAGTTTTATCAAGTTATAAGTATGATTTTAATATCTTAGATAACTGTCACTGTTATTAAAATAAAATATAATTTCTATGGTACTAAATTGTGTCTTACTGAATCATTTTTTGATATTATTACTGTTGCTAAAGCAATACCCATAATCCATTGACAAACAATACATAGTATAAACCATTTTTTTGTCTTAAAAAAAGCTTTTTGATGATATAGAACATAACCAAATATATAAACTGATACCATAATTAATGCAAATGCTAATTGAAAAGTAATCATTACTCGAAGATATGTTATTAAATTGCATGAAAAATTACTTAATAATACTTTTGTATAATGAAAACGAACTGTAAAATAAATAGTATGTATAATACCAAAACATAAGATTGTTAACGACATATTTAATGTAAGTATATGTATACGATGATGAAATCGTTTATTAAATATAATTGTAATAGAATAAATTAAACATAAAAATATAGCCAAAGAAAAAAATCCAATAATACAAAAAAAATATCTTCGTGAGACCGTAGTCGTTGACATAATAATCCGTATATGAATAAAAAAAAGAATTAACTGATTCTTATTAACACTGAATGTTTTAATCACAAGCTTCCTTTAAGTTTTACATTTAAATTTACACAACTGTCAATGTTTTTAATAAAACTGAATAAATATATAAGCAAATGAAATAAGAATGAATATTTACTATTGATATACATTAAACACAGAACCCGTGACATTCTCCTCTTGACATGCACTAAGAGAAAAAGTTATAAGATATGATTAACACAGAATGTATGAGTTAAAAAGAAAAACTTTTCCATATTGATATATATTTATTTTACACGGTAGGCTCCATGACTGATAACAAATTATTTTTTTGTAGGAGAACAAAAAAAATATCAATATTATTTTCTAGATAGTACAAATATCTTATTAGGTGAATCAATTATTCTTTCTCATATACTATTAATTTCTCATGATATACCAATAATTATTTTTACTAGAGATTATTCTCACAGGAAATTTTGAAACATTGAATTATCAGTCAATAGATGGGTGTGAGTGTAGGTTTCTCTTTTCTTCGATCCTCACACCCACATTCTCAAAACTGTTTTTTTTATTTCATGAAAACATTCAATAAGCTTTACAACTAATAAAAATTTTTGTTCAAGTATAACAAGGTTCGGTATTACTTATATTTCATATTAGATGAATTACGTTCTGCATATGTCCCTATTAGCCGTAAACTGCAATTTTTGAAAAGGCAAGGTCGGATGCTTCATTACCTGCCTCTCAATCTATCACTGGTCCCTATCTTTAAAAACAGCTAGGTTTAAAATTTACTGAGTTTCAATGCAGAGAAAAAAAATTCTATAACGAAAGGGTTAATACAGAAAAATATAATACAATCAAGATTGATCTACCGAAGAATAAGACTGAGCGTTTATCAGAAAATAAAAAAATTTGTTTACGGATTATTCATTCAACTGATCGTACATACAAATCAATAACAATGATTATCTGTCACTTATTTTAAGGCAATGTATCGCATTGTTTTCATCGTTCTGTCTTTTCGTTGTTTTCATCTTATGACTCAATCAAACAAACACATTTTTAGTCGTTAATGTGTACACTTCTAATGCTTCGAAAAAAAAAGTTTAACAACAATATTCAGTACAAGTTTTATTTCTTTAAAAGTAAAATCATTTCATTGACGTAAGTTTCATAACCCACATTGACATTACTTTTTCTTTTAATATAAAGATATTATCTTGTAATTATAATTTTCTAGATACAATATTGTCTAAAAATCAGTTCACAAATGCCTAGATGGGAAGTTATCGAAAGAAAATATGGAATTACAAGTACCATGAAAACGAATATATTAGCTACAATAGGTAGTGCTATAGATTCACGTGGTCAATCAGAAAGGTATAAAATAGTCAATGATATTAAAGAATGGCTTGAAGAAACCTATGGAAAACGATGGACTGTATTGATTGCTGATACAGGATCTTATCAATTGAGTGCTTCTCAATATGACTCAAGATTTATGAGGGTTAACGAAACAAATTTGAAATGGACTATTGATGTTTTTCAACAAATTCCATAAGAATTTTAAAATATAGAAGAATTCATAGCAATCATAAAAGATTTTTATTTACAATTGTTATTATGAGCACATTACTATTTAAGAAAATAATTATATATATTTAACTGTATTTTTCTTATCTATCTGTTTGTTATAATAAAACGAAATTAATAAATTTTGTTATCTGATCGTTATTATTGAAAAAAATTCGAATCTCAAAATATATTATTTTTTATTAATTTAAAATTAAAAAGCAGAAAATAAAAATTATCGAACAAATAGTTTCTTTGATTGCATAATATATTAAAATAAAAAATATTCGCACAATTAGAATTTAAAATTCTATATAATCATATTTAAAAGATTGCAAGATCTATTAGACTTTTTAATAACGAATATATTAATGAAAAGTAACACTTGCTGGACCAGTAACCATGATAGAAAATAATCCAGTAATATTTTTCTCATACGTCGTTGCTACTAATGTATACATAATAGGATTGAGTGAAATTTTAAAATAAAATTGTTCATCACCACCACTATCATCATCAGCCATCAGTATATTCATAGGTGGATTTAGAGGCATAAAATATAAATAAAAATAACCAAACATATCTATATTACTGAAACTTTGAATTACATAATAACCAGGAACTGATATAAATATTTGAACTGGTCTATAATAATATACACCACGATCGCCGTTTGGTCGCTGAAACATCATACTAGTTTTTGTTAAGGAACTTGAATAATTGCATGATATTTGACGATCTAAAGGTATTCAAATAACAGTAGTATTAATAATAAAATTTTTTGATGTATGTAATATTATACTACTGATAAATTTGCTGGTATTTAGTTCTTACACTTATGTCTTTATGTTCTTATTGTACAAGTGTACAGGTCTATCTAGGATTTTTTGAGACAGGATGCAATCGCACTCAAGGCGCCCTCTCCTAAATACTATATGAAAACTTTAGGAACTATCAAAATAAGATATGTCCTGTACACAAATTTAGTAATTGATTCTGCACGAAAAACTCATCTCCAATTTTTTAGTGAGATATATTGTGATAAAACATTTGTAGAAGAAAATTAATAGTACCTGGAGGAGGAGATGTACCGGTTTGTTTAACACCTAAAGAGACTCCAAGACTAATCGATACACAAATAAGACATGTGCATATAATACAAAGAAATATTTTATGAGAACGTCTTGATAATTCAAGTGCTCTGCATATATTACGATCGTGTGTTTGATTCTTTGGTAGTTTTCGAAGAGACGGTAGTGTTACAGTTCCATCTCGTACTTGATAGGATACGACAGAATTTCTTCGTGCGGCAGCAAGACGTTTCAAATGATCATCCGGTAGTAAATCCGTAATTTGTAATGTTTCTCGAGTAAATGGACTTGTACCATGTTGAAGTATCCATTTAGTAATAGCTTCTCGTTCATAAACATGACCATCTTTAGCAATAACTGGATCACGAAATAGTTCAAGTGTAATAGGACAAAAAAGATTATCATCATTTTCCGTGTTTATCACAGTAGTTGTTTGAATCATATTAAAAAATCAACAACTTAAAGTGATGTGCTTTACTTTGTTGATCATAAAAGAGAGTTGAAGTATGTTATTTTTTTTTCTTTCTTCCCATCAAATGTCACATGTAATTTTTCTTTTTTTCTTTTCCGGTAATAATGAAAGTACAAACTTTTAATAGATTTTCCAATATTATAAAATTCACCTCTCATATATTTACTTTTTTTTATACTCAGCGCAGAGAATACTTATTATTAACATAAATGAATTTATTGCTGTAAATTAGTTGTTTTTCTCGTGTTAAATAACTTTCATAGGAGAATAATAAAAATTCTATTTTATTGTCGAAAGAGGTCGCATATTTCTTACAGAGATGAATTTTCTTGACTCTAAAAAAGACTTTCTTAAAGTTACTAATATTTAAGTGTCTTATTTTTATGAGAATGTATTTTAAGGACAAATTTTTTTTTTTTTGATACGATAAAAGTCAATAAAAGATGTTTATGATAGTCGAGTTTTTACAATAACAGATAGTATCAGTTTTTAGAATATTTCATCTGAATCAAACTTCCTAATTTATAGATTATATGTTTTGAAAAATAGTTGAAATTTGGATAAATGTCTACGATTATCATCAGTTTATGAAAGATTTAACTTCGTCCTTTCATTTAAATGTACCCTCGCGGAAAACGATCTATGACGTGAATATACATGATAAATATCGCAAATTTTTCTGTAAGTTATTCAGCATTATTATATAATTATTTCTAGAATATTGATAATTGAAGACAATATTCAGAAACATAAAACTTATTGATTAAAAATCGATCTAAATAATCAGTTGTTCTTCTGTTTTGTTTAGAGTATGATGTCACATATATCTTCTCTATAATTTAAGATAATGCCATCAAAATTTAGAATAATATTTAATCTTTGGTGCATTTTTCAATTTATTATGACAGGGAGGGAAAAGTTATTAATTAATCTAATTTGATATGAACGAATATTATGCTCTATTAGAAACAAGAGTTTTTATATTGATTGAATACATAATTCTAGCAATTTTCTCTTTGTAATAAGAGCATCGTTTTAAAAATATAATGAACTATATTTGACTATTCCTTTTGTTAGTTAAAAACTTTTGCACGATAAAACAAAACAGTCAAGGCATGCAAATTTAGTTTATACTATAGATTGTTGCTAATGTAAAAAGGTCTACTTAGAATATCTATCTTTTTTATTTATCTTCTAATGAGTCACTATTAAGATAAGAAAAGCAACGGACACTATCATATCATATGCCTATAGAAAAAGAAATGCGACCATAATTATACATGTACTCTTTTGAATAAAAATGAATTCCGATAGATCAAATGTACCGTTGATACCTTCGGAATATTATGCAACAGCACAACCATCAAACTCAAGTTATAATTCATATGAAATGGCATCCACTTCTTCCACTCAGTTAAAATCTGACGATGATGATGAAGATATTTGTGAATGTTGTCAATCAAATTCAGAATGTATTGAATGTTGTAACAGTTTCTTACAATTATTATGTTGCTGTTGTATGTTCGTGGAATGTTTATCATTAATGAAATAATGAAAACGGACAAAAATATACATTAATCTATGACCTTCGATAATACTATTGTTCTTTTTTCTGTTATTTCGATATTTATAAAAACAATAATAAAAATAATCGAAGATATCTTGCATATGAAAACAAAAAAAATCATCTATTCCAAATTGCATTATATCCATCTTAGGACTTTTCCTTATTCTTTTGAATCAACGTTGCAAGTATATTATGATATAAAACACAAATAATTTCTAAGTTTCAATACAAGAAAAGTCGGATGATATTAAAATTCATTTTAATTTTGTTTTCTATTTAGATCAGATATCAAGTAAACAATTTCCACCGTTCATCTAATCTTAATATTCAACGAAATACTTTCATAGTTTGCTTGACCAGATAAATAAACATATGTAATCCAATTTTAGTTATCATTATAACAAATTTAAACCATTAAATACTTTATTTTTCAACATATTTTTATTGATATTTTAAAACTTTTTACAAACAGACAATAGAAGAACAAGACAAATGATACACGAACAACAAATATATTTAATTGTCAACTTATGTTTGTAATTAATCATGACTACGAATTCTTTGAGTATTTGGAAATACCCGATTCATATGTATACCAAAAACGAGTTCTTTGAGAGAAACGGTCAACTGATGTCGAAATCTTTTTGATAAACAATAACAATAAAATGAACTCTAAAGAAAAAGAGAAGAATAAATATTTGTTTTGAAAGTAAGAAAAAGACAATTTACTGCATATGGACCATAAGAATAAGTAGCAATAAATGAAGTAATTGACTGTTCCACTGCTCGCCTATAAGTATCTTTAACTACATCTGCTGTAATGATTGAGTAAGTTAGCGAAGCGGCATTTGGGCCATTGAAAACTAATGCAGCAAATATTTGAAATAATACCATACTAATTGTTTGTCTAGTAAGAGAAGAAAGTAATCTAGTTACACCAATAGTTTTCATATGTCGGACAGTAAGAAACCCAAAAATAGAGATGACTATGATAGGAATAATAGTGACAATACATTGAGCAACGAAATAACTACGATATTGAGTAAATATTGCATTTGTTCCGATACACATCGGGATACCTCCTGTAACAACAAGATCTTGAAAGATGAAATAGGGTATCTCATGAGTAAGCCAAAAACAAAGAGTACCAATTATTAAATATCGTGCTATTCGAATATTACTCATCTGTCGTATACCAACTGATGGAGAAGAACACATGAAAGCATCAATAGCTTGTAAGCAAATCATAGTATATGAACTTTGACTATTAATATCAAGAAAACCTACGCGAGTTTTACACCAAATTCGATTTATTAAAGTAAAATCCATTTGAAAGCCTGTACTAAGAATTCGAGTGGTTAGACCAACAAGAAGAACATAGAGATCAAAAAAAGTACGAACAAACATGTAAAGTGAACATGCATTGTTCTTGTAATTTCCAGCTTTAATGAAGACTATGATATTAAGAATATTTCCTAATACACCACCAATTAATAGAGTAAAGCCTAAAATAAGGCTTGGATATCGAAAAGCGCTTTGAAGTTGAAGAATTGCTAATGTAATGCTTGTGCTATTGTTAGATGACATTGTAACGTTCTTTGTAAATACTTTTATCTAATGACTGAAGATGTTAGTTTCAGGACATTTTTTTTTTGTTATATTCAGTAGGAAAGAAAACTTATGACGTAAGAAGAAAATTAGCTTTTTGTTATCATTGGAATTCCACTGAATTAACTTTCTCATGTAAATATTTTTTGCTTCAAAATGCATCTGAAACGCTAATAATGAACGCGTTTGGTTTGCGTGCGAAACGCTACAGGTGAATGTATCTGAATGTATTCTCAGAGAAACAAACGAAGCATTTAAATGAGATTTATTTTAGGAACGACTGTGAATGCGTTCGTAGTTTGACTTGCGTTTAAACATGTTTGTGATGAAAATGCATCCCTGGTGAAACATTCGAAGCGTCTGAACGTGTTTCATATGAAATCTAAAAGTTTTGAAAAATGTATGATAACTTATATCAGATTTGAAATGAGTCGCCATCAACAATACTTTCTAATGGTCTTAGCGTATTTCGGCAAATGGAGTGAATTTTACCTGAAGCGATGACGATCAGTCTTAAATGGATAAACTAGTAATCAGAAGTCGTTCATATACACCATTAAACTATATTAGCTCAGAATCTTTTTTCATTCAAAATAAAATATAGTTCAATGCGACTTTCACTGATTGAATACTTTATTTTCAATATGATGTACTCTTTTCAAAGTTAGGATATTGAATCTATAACATGATTTTTCACTTATTTTGTTTTTAATAGTTTTATTGTTTTTTAATAGAATAAAATCTTTTTCTATTATCTACCACACGTAATTAATATTACAATTTTTTTTCTATTGCACTAGTAGCATGATAAATAATTTTATCGAAGAATTTAATGAGTACATGATTATTCATACAAAGTTTAGAGAAATATGGATTATTTGTCGTATATTTCAATAAATTTTAGTATATTTTAACGTCATCTGAACATTCTTTAATAAAAAAGTCTAATGAAGTCTAGCCGAATAGAATATATATAAACTGATAATTTGGATCACGAGGTCAACTTTTTTAGAGCAGCAATTTTTGCGTTAAAATCACGTCGCATACACAAGAAGGGAACGCGGACAAGCACGCCCGGAAATAGGACTGAATTCCAACACGTTATATATAAAAACTGCGTTCAGGCGCGTTTCAGAATATTTCTAATTGCGCTTCAGTGCATCAATTTACGTTCCGTGAATACATGGGTAATGAAGTGTCTATGTTGTTATATTTATAATCATACTATTCATTTCTTATCACTACTAATAATTCATAGAGATATTCGATCATTTATTTATTCTATTCCTAATCTATTGAGAACAATATAACTATTACTGGAGTTTTTCAGCACTTCTTTAAAAAATATTTCTTTACACGTATGATCACAAAGCTAATATATATATTATTATCGTTGTTTTGAAGTTAGTTTTATTATAAATTTAATTTAAAATCTTCCAAGAGATAATATCACATTGAGTATGTTACAAATGGCAAATGAATCATAAATAAAATTATTATAGAAAGATGCTTTAAAAACTAAACAAAAATCATTAGAATCATCTCCTTCTATTAATGATAATGTAGATTTCTATCAGATTAAACAATTTTTTACATTCAATGCAACTAATCGCGGTACGATATTTATGTTTCATCTTGAAACAAGTTATACGTACACGGGATATTCATTACGAATTTTTCAACTAGTAGTTCTTCATCATATTTCTGTCATTTTTAATTACCAAAATATTATTGTTTGCAATCAATAGATTTGCGATGATTTATCGATTTATAATATATTCTTGTTCTAATATACTCTTAGGATTATTTGCTAAAGTAAAGTCGTATTAACTGAAGTGTGATTTGTCTTTGATGGTTTCGAGTGAGTAAGGAATTTGATTATCCCATTTCCACATAGCGTTCCTTTACATGATGGACGAAATAAATGACATAGATCTGTATTTGTTTTTGCTCTTGGCGGTGGCATATTCGCTGGTTCAAGTCCAAGAATAATATGCCAAATATGTTCAAAACCTCCACCAAACCATTTTATGCCGGGTCCTCCAGGTAATTCACGATCACGACTAGTTGTACAATATGGTTGAAGACTTGCATTATAGACCGATGACCATTGTGCATATGTGTAATGACGAATACGTTCTTTTCTTACATAAAATTGTGCACAACACATAGCCGAAATAACACTATAATTTCGTGATATGCTATAGTCTGGATTAAGTTGAGCTTCTCCATTATAACCAAACAAAGTCAATAAACGTCTAGCACATTTATACATCAATGTAAGATTATCAGTAGGATCACGAAGTCCTGGACCCCATGGCCGTTCCTGAAGCCATATATCATTAACGCTTGTATAGGCAACATCATCACGAATACATTGAACTGCATCAATTGGATAAAGTGAATGGTGCTCTGGACGAGCATGAATAAATAACATTTTATCAGGTAAATCATAGTAATAATCATAAATAAATTTTAAATAAACACCAGCTTCTTCATGAACATTATGACAATATGGCCAATTATATGGAGGTTTTGAATCGGGATCAAGACGTTGATATAAATGAATATTGTATGGTCGGGAATTATTTTTATTAAATAAATCAAGTCCTATACGTAACCAAAGTGGCCAGCTTGAATGATCAGCCCAGTTAATTTCTTTAAATATTGCAGGGATGATAACAAGTTTATTTTTTTCCCATTTACTAGGTTTTCCACCCGAATTTATTAACAGTGAGTTCATAGACAAAGTTGATTTTAATTCTAGAAAATTAGCCGATAGAATTCCTCGAAGATTTTCATTACTAATAAGCAAAATTGTCAAAGTACCACATGACAAAATGAAAATAATGATGAATTTAATTTTACTAAATAAAATGAGACAACATTAAAAGTAAACTCTATTAAAATATATAGCTTACTGATTTGCGAATGTAGTCATTTTTGTAACAATAGAATTAAGTATTACATCTAGAATATATGTTTATATTAATATATGTAGCAGAATGTTGGAAAATGTACTGTCAAGATATATTGATTAGGAACAGTTTTAATTCAAAAGATCATTTTCTTTACGAAGATGTAATATAACAAAGCTAAAGACGGGCTTCATTAAATGTTTTAATGGTATATTTAAGAAAGGTACATAAAATTAACAAGACTTCAACGAAAAAATATGACATTGAATTTGTAAAGTATATTAATTGCAGAATAGTTGATATATTTCAAGAAAAATCTAATATTATGAAGTTTCTACTATCTTCTTCGATATGGCCTTGAATTGATTGTTTACTTGAATAGTATAAAATTTCATTTCTTACTATCAAGGTTTTAATACAATAACAGAGTATCTTCATGCATTTTTTTTACAACTTAGTATTATATAATATTAACGAAAAAAAGATAACCTCAGTCTGTTGACTGCTTGTATTCTCAATATAGTTTAAACGAATATTGCTCAACCCCGCACTGATTTAAGTTTATTTAATTTAGTTCGAAAAACTAACTCTTTTAATATGATGATTTTAATGATTTTGAAAGTTATAGTCATGAATTATTGCCTTATACTTATGCTCGTTGGTTACTGTTTACATATATCTGATTCGACGAAGAAAAATAAATCTGATAATAACAATTTGATGGATTTTCGACATCAGCGTGAAAATCTGATTTGAGTTCTGAACATTTATTGTTTAATTCTATTCGATTTGTTAGTTGTCATCAGTATTTCTTACTTATTATTTGTAGTGTAATTGTTGTGAACTTGACTTGTTTGAGTAGACTACCGACGATAGAAGAATTAAAACGGTTTTTTTAATGTTGATCGCTTTGTAAACGTTTCTTTCTATTTTATTATTGCCAAATAGCACATTTTTTCTCCTACTGTTTTACATGTTGTTACGAAAAACATGAGACGTCAACATTCGTTAGTAACAAAAGAAGAACGAAAAAAAAATCGATAAAATAACGTTTCGATTGATAATCATCGACATAGTCCATGAAAAAGAATTATCCTGTTTTGTTTAACAAGAAAGAAAAAACATTGAAGGACTTTTTTTTCCATTCTGTTTCGAGCATGAGTGGTGTGTTCATCTCAACACATACTCGAACGTTTTTTTCATTCATTTCAAACGAGAAACATGACTCACTCTACGTAAAGATCATCCTGATAAAATAAAGAAATAACTAAGTCCGTTCTATATGACTTTTCTTATATACTAATCAAATGACTGTTGAGAAACTCTAAACATTCGTTGAATTAAGGCATAAACAATATTTGATTCATTCGTTTCTGTCGAAGTTTTAACAGATAAGAAAAAAAAAGTAAAAGGCAAATAAGATTGACAAAAATACTATATAAGCAGAGAAAACTTGGCATAGGATTCCTTTGGATATAGTTTGTCTATCAAGCTATCCCTTGTATTTCTCAGGTGATCTATGCATACGTTCACAGTGTCTAACAATTGTTAGTTTGAAGAATAATGTAGTAATTTTAATAAAGCCGAAATATTTAAATTGTGAAACAATCCAATTTAAAGTGATGAATATGAGGATAGGAGATTACTATAATACTCATCGTTAAATGCAAATACTCACGATCAATATAGATAACTTTTAATGCTAGGTCCCTTTATTCTTGAATACATTAAGCAGTAATCAGATATTTACGTCTAGCTATATGAACATAAACTAGACTAGTCATAATGGACTGCAAGCTATTTCATAGACGACCTAATTCTATGGTGGACATCTTAGGCTAGTTATCTTAGAAATTATCTTTTAGTTTTTGTTAGTTTTCAAAATAACTTTTATTCTAACAAACTTTCTCTTTTACTTTCAGTTATGTATAAATATGTTCTAATACAGTTGCGAAACAAATGTGCTACTGGCATATTTTTTTATTTATTTGAAACATCTCTTTATCATTTATTAACTAATATCATACAACTACATTCCTTCTCATTCTGCATAATGATACACATTATCTCTTATTCATATACGTTTCAATAAAATCCATTCTTTTCATGTATTCTTGATTGCTTCAAAGACTATTATATAAAAATAGAATATTAAGTATTAAACATTATATGAAATAAGCAAAAAAGAAAGCTATTTGATTAGAAATGAATATCAATGCTTAAATCAAGCATATCAGAATAAATGATCAATCTGAATTTGATACAATTGTTAAAAATTGCACAAACTTAATAAAATATTTTAAATTAGCTTGTATCTCGTATATATATATATATTGAATATTGACGATAAGTAACATCATATATATAAAGATTTTGTTGAAAAAAAAAACGAATAATAAGCAGATTAGTTTCATTTATCGTAAGCCATATTTATGATAGCGATAAAAGAAAATCTTTGGTGAAGAGATTTGCTTTTTATATAGTGATTTATCAAAATTTTAATCTTAACTGATATCTTATGAAGTAATGTGAACATAATCAAATAGATTTATTCGATTGTATATTATGCAAAAATATTTGATAAGAAAAGTCAAGAGAATTATTAAAAAACCGACTTAATCTCTTTTCACTGATAACTGAATGCATATAAACTACAAAAAAACCATTTGTAATTTTATTTTATCCGTTATGAGTCTTTTAGAAAGACGACAACAATTTCATTTTGATATTATGTCAAAAGTAATTTATTTTATCGTATTTATACTATCCCATACACTTATTATTGATGGACAACATGTTCAAACAATGCCCCATCAATATGCATGCACATCATCAAGTCTTACTCTTCGTTGTCCAACTGGTTATATTATTGTTGTTACAAGCGCTGAATATGGTGTTGCGAAAGTCGATGGTTCATGTATCTATACATCAGGTGATTGTCTTGCTGATGCTATGAGTATAGTAAGCTGTATAGGTGATTCTGTTACATGTAGTATATATGCAACAAAAAAGCAACTACCAGAATGTAATAATCAATATGGTAGCTATATTCATATTGAATATGATTGTGTTCCAATATCAATAAATGATTCAGCAAAAGAATATAATGTATGTCAACAAAATAGTACAGATATAACAAGTGATCATGGAATATTGAAAAGTCCTGGTTCTCCATCACAATTTCAACTTACAATATTTGAATGTTTTCGTGCTATACATGTACCAGATAATAAAATAGTTCGTTTATGGTTAACTGATTTATATGTTAGTTCAGCAGAGAGCAATTGTCCTAACGATCATGTATATGTTGTTGATAATGTTCAAACACTTCGACATTGTGGTACTAAACGATATGCTTATCCATATTTATGTTCATCGACTATTCTTATTCAATACAAGACTACGACGCAAAGTTCATTTTATCGTGGAATGAGAATGTATTTTGAAATAGTTGATCGATCACCAAATGATAATTGTCCAAATGGATCAGTAACACCTGCACCAGTTACAACAACTATCCCAACGGATGTAACAACAGCTGTACCTGTTTATGTTGTACTTGGTATTGCATCTCCACTTCGAAGTTTTCAAATTCGTAAAGGTAAATTATTTATTCAAACAAACATAAAATAGAATAGAATAATTACAAAAATTCTTTTTCTTAGGTGAATCACATACACTTCAATGTCCAGCTAATTATGTTGTAGCTGTAAGAACAAATATATATGGTGTTACTCCAACGGATCAATGTGAAGATCATGATGCAAGTAAACATTGTGTTCTTGCAATAGATCCAACATTTTATTGTCTACAAAGTTGTACATATATGTATACAGGTAATCGAGTTATTCCATCATGTAGTAATAAAATTGCTGCTTATCGATATGTTGAATATCAATGTATACCATTAAATACTGAACTTGTTTCGCCAAATACAACATGTCCAGCTGATGGTTCAAAATTTCCTATACAAATCGATAGTCGAGGTCGTTTTCAAAGTTATAGATATGATAGTCCTATTTTAAGAAAAATGAATTGCACATATCGATTAAAAACAAAACCTGGTAACATTATGCATATTTATGCACTTGGTATTAGTTTAACTGATTATTCATCAGATTGTACAAAAAATAAAATATCATTTATTGAAGATGGTGAAACTGCAGGTGCAGATTTTTGTGTAGAACGATCATATAGATTGATTTATTCAACTTGTTCAAATGAAATTGATATGCGTTATATTGTTACAGATGATATTATGTATTCCTCAAATGGTGCTGAACTATATATTGAAAGTCAAGCACGTCCATCAGACTGGCCTTGCGGTAAACCTTTACCAACAACACCATTTGTAACACCAACAGCAGCATCTTTAACAAATGAAACATCTATGTTTGCACGTGATGAACTTGAAACTGATATTTGTTTTAAAGGTACATCAACTTATACATGTCCATTTGGTTATACATTTATTATGATTGATGCTTTCTATGGTGTTAAAAAACAATCATCAAATAAATGTGGATTTGTTCAAGGAGACTGTGTACACGATGCATTACCATCTTTAACAATATGTCGAAATGATGCAGCAAGTTGTTATATGTCATATCCAACACAACGTCGTCTTACTCAATGTTCAGATAATTATGCTGATTATCTACATATAACACATCAATGTGTACCAAGTCAACCAGTTGGAACTCCACCACCTATAACCATGTATGATATTTGTGATACAAATGCTCCTATTGCAAATGTTAACGGAGTTGTTACTAGTCCAAATTTTCCAACTTATAAACAAACAAATACTGAATGTAAAAGATCACTCGTAGGTATGACAGATAGAGTTTTAAAAATTTGGATTAATGAAATGGCTGTATCAAGTGATGGTGTACGTAGTTTAACTGGTAAGATATTTATTTCACTTATTTTCAAAAATTTATATTTTTATTTCTTTTTTTTTAGAAGAATCAGATGAACCTGATTTAATTATCTATAAAAATTATGACACAAAAAATTTAAATGATTTCGAAAAATTAAATCCATCAATTCGTGATGTTTGTATAGAAGATTATTTAATAATAAATGCTCCACATGTAGCTTATGTTTATTGTGGTACTCGTAAATTTGCTATGGCACCTATTTGTGCAGACAATATAGATATTCAATATAAAACAACATCAGCATCAAATCTTGTTTATAAAGGTTTTAAATTATATTTTGAATGGGTTCATAAACCAATGAATATACTTTGTGATAATACTCCATTGCCATCAACAACAACACCTACTAATGAAGTAATACCAAGTTGGGCACAAAATTTACAACTTTCTCCTATACTTTCTGTACAAATATGTCTTGGGACAGCACATACATTACGATGTCCTCGTGGATCTGATTATGTTCTTTCTATAGTTTCATCAAGTTATGTTGTGACAGGTACAGGTTTATGTGAAATTCCAGCATCAAATCATTGCCATCAAGAAGCATCACTTGGTTTAACATGTACACATTCATGTTTTATTGAATATATTATTCCAAGACCACTTACACAATGTAATGCACAAAATGCTGATTATATCAGTATAGATTATCAATGTATTCCTACACGTTTACCAAATTCTGAAAATCCAATTGATATATGTGCATCAACAACAACAGATACAATTGCAATTAATTCGGGTATAATGATTAGTCCACAATATCCAATATTAGGTGCTGCACATACTTGTTCAAAAAAAATTGAAACATTACCAAATAAATTATGGATGGTTTTTATTGTTGATTTATTTTTGGAAGGAGGAAGTACTATTGCCGATACTTGTGATGCAGCATCACTAAATATTTATGATGGAAATGATAGAATTATTCGTTGTGGTTTACAACAACCTGAATTAGTTTTAGTTAGTTGTTCAAATACAGTTGAATTTAAATTTGTTTCAACTCATCAAGCACTTGGTTATCGTGGTTTTAAAATATTTTTTCAAACAATTGATGTACCTAGTAATTGGGTATGTAAACCAAGTGGTTTTACAACTCCAGCAACTCAACCAACAACTCGACCTCCAACAACATCAAGTGCACTACCACCTAGTTTTCAAAGTAAATTATAGTTTTTAAAAATAAAAAACAGTTTTTTTTCTTAAAATTTTCATTTAAATATCTTTTCTTTTAGTTGCTGCTTATGGTGGAACAACAAATAATACACGTCAATATTGTAAATTTCCATTTATATATCAAGGCAATCAACAAGTATCTTGTCTTAGAACAGATCCACCAAGTTCACTATCAGGTCAAACACTTAGAGAACCATGGTGTTCATTAACAAGTAATTTTGATATTGACCGTCAATGGGGATTTTGTAACATAGGTGTTACTGATTCAACATTTTATGATATATGTCGTAGTCAATCACAATCACTTCGATGTCCACCTGGTTATATTATTAATGTAATAACTGCTGATTATGCAGCTAAACCTGATGGAAATATCGGTGCAGGTGCATGTATGTATGATAAAAATGATTGTTTTCAAAGTGATTCAATAACAATTCAAACAATGTGTGCTGGTCAAACATCATGTACAGCATATCATTTGGGTAAAACTTTAGCATCATGTCAAAATCGACCCTCCGCTTATTTACATATTGATTATACATGTGTACCTAATGATATTTCAGAAATAAGAACATATGATATGTGTAATAATAATTCATTACCACAAGGTGATACTCGTCGTGGATTTATTGTATCACCAAATTTTCCAAATACACAAAAAAATCTTGATTGTACATTTAATTTACAAACATTAAAACCATATCAAGATATTTACCTGTATATAATCGATATGGATTTAGATAGTGCAACTTTTGCTCCAGCAACATGTATCAAAGATCGATTAATTGTTACAGCTAATAATACTGTTATGGAAATGTGTGGTAGATCATATACAAAGTTTTTACTTCATACTTGTCATTCATCTGTATCATTTCAATTAATTCGGGCATCTGATGCTAAAGGACGTGGTGTTAAATTTTATTTCGAATTTCGTGAAAGACCTCCAACTGAAGTTTGTCCTGTATTATATACAACTACTGTACGTCCATCAACAGAATCTACATCAATCCATACTTCATCTTCACCCACTTTATCATCATCTAGTAATCAAAGTAAGTTTTTTAAGAAAAATATTTTTCTGATTTTCTTATTTTTAAGGCTATTATTACTGATATTAAAATACAGTTTCCTATATTGAGTTGCGACATATGTAGATATAAGTTTCTCTCCTGATCTTTACTCATGTCTCGAATTCAGATTGATCTTCAAAATAAATAGATTTGAATAAAAACAATTGTCATTTCATTTTCTAACCTTTCTTAGCATCAACTTCAACACAGAAGACGTCAATAGCATCAACTTCAACGCAG